TGAGTTGGACTTTCACAAGCGTGTGTTATGTATGTTGGTAAGGAAAGGGAGGGTCTTTGTTCTTGGCACACTACGATGCATGGGGGAGGGACTTCTTTTGAAAACTTGTTACTGGGGGGAGAGACAAATTGTTTTGGGGGGAGGGACGAATCGATGCGACAGAGKGCTGAATCTCAGTGGATCGTGGCAGCAAGGCCATAAGCTCGATGGTGGAATGTGAGAGTGAAACAAGGGTATTTTCTCGAATGAAGAAAGATCACATAAGCTTAAAAAGACCGGAAGCCTCAAATGAAGCTTTTGGATTTTGTACAATTTTCAGCTTTCTCAAGCTTTTTACGGGGCCTATCTTTTTGGCTTTCTATCTTGTGGTTGCCAAACGAAAAAGCTCAGTACAAGGTCTTCCGAGCTTTGAGAAGCCTGAAAGACCCGTTAAAAAAAGACTTCCCAAATACCCTCTTAATTAGAAAATTTGGCCTTTCACTACAACCTAAAAATATGCACAAGTTTATGGGATTGCTTTGTTCTTTTAAATTTCAATACATAATCCCTTGGAAGCTTAAAATTTTAAGCATGCATATGCATGTGCTCAGTATGACTGAACAATTTACAAGATATTGTTAATATATACAAAGATCTAGTACTCACCATCATTCCTATTTACTTGAACAAGACAAATCCAAACTGATTTTCTTATATTTAACACTAGGATTGTTAGGGACCTGCTGTCCTTTGACTTCCTTTCTACTGAGATTGCTGGATTTGTTCTTTGTTCTATTTTTCAATGCTCCAATTTGGCAGAATCCAATGACTCTGGACCCCTCAATAAAAATAAAAATAAAAATAAATTGATGCCTTGTTTATTCAATTTGTCCCTCATTCTTCTTCAAGTAAAGGACGAGCTTCCCAGAGATCAATCTCCTTTGGTTGTGTTGGACACTTATCTGGTTGCCTCACTATATAAATCTGATCTCCAGCAGTATTGTACATATCTTGATTTCGGTGCCATGTCCATAGAGCATGAGTCTCATTCTTCACCTGCCATTCACAAACCTATTAGTTTGTAGTTCTAGTAGTTCCTATAAGATCCTAGGCCACCTCTAGTACTGGTATTTCAAAGTTTCAAGGCTTAACCAATCAAAACCAAACCATCAGTAACCCTAGTACACTTCAATAAATTGATAAGAGAATGGTCTATGAAGTTCCTCTCAGTTTACTGCTTTAAAACATTATATTGTGTCTGATTTTGGAGCAATGCCCTTCCTAGAGGTGGTACCAATTAAATCAGGTTGGAGCACAACCTTTTCACATGTAAAAGCACCATGGAATTTGGTTGCTTCAGAACCACCATTTACTTTTTCTGGTTAAATATAGCATGTAGTAACCTTCATATGTTTGTATACTGATAGTGAGAGAGAGGGTACCTCAAGGATCCCATGGCCAAAGCTGCTTTCCCTGTATGCACTGAAATCAGGTTGTCGGTCCCAGCAGAATTTTCCTGCTGCTGGACCTGATGTAAAATTAGTAGCACAGAAGCCACCCATATATTCATCTGGCGTACTCAATGGATCTGGGCAGTTACCAGGTGCATCAGCATGTTTGATTGCCATTTTCTCTCGATTGCCCCCATCTCCAATCGTGATATGAACAGGACCACAAGGATCCAACAAGTAATTATAAACTCGATTTGACCTCTCATATGCATGTACCTGCATATTCCATCCAAATTAGTAAAGTGTAAAACAACCCGTGTATGTTCATGCATTATCAATTTACAGAAATACTGGGAGTATGGCATTACTAGATTCACTATAATACTGGACCTTTAGATCTGGCTTGCAAGCAGGGGAGCCATCCCTTGATAGCATCTACAACAGCTTCTACACCAGAAATCAACACTACGAAATGATTCATCTGAGTGTACTTACTACCTATAAATTTGTGGAATCTGCWRRTYWSMAGRTTRCAAGATTGTTTACAGTAGGTAGAGAAACATTAAGGTATATCTAAGTCCTTCCACTAACCTAAAGCCTCAATAGCACACTAATAAAAAATGCCTACAAGCATGCTTTTATAGAAAGTTTGTCTTCACATGTGTGTTCATATTGTCCTTATTGTGTTTTATTGGGCTAGGTTGGAGTTAAGAATTGAGTAAAAAGAACAATATCTCAATGATTTTTCATCTCATTTAGTTTAGTAGGCCTTAGGCATGCCTCATAAGAATGTCATCCTTCCCAGTGGGAGTTCAATATGCTTTCCCTGCACCTTGCGTTGAGGATAAAGCCTCAAAAACCTCTAGGCTCATTGGTTATGATTAAGAAGAATCTAAGTACAGAAATGTGGCTTGGACCCTCCTTCAGGTGGCGGTTAAAAAGGGGAAGGACAATGTGGAGAGGAYTAAGGGCTGCAGTATGTTGGACACTGTGGGAAGAAAGAAACTCCAGGATATTCTCAGAAACTCAAAGAGGGACAGCAGATTTGAGAACAATCATACAGTTTAGGGCGGTACAGTGGCTGAAATCTCTGGAAATATTCACAGATTACACTGTGGATGACATGTTGAGGAAGTGGGGTGAAATTGC